TCCCTGTCCTTATATCGACCCAGGAGCCTTTCGTTATACTTTCTCTCTCCTGCCCAGCTGGGAAGGGGAATGATAGAGTGGCTTTGGTGGGCACCTGCCATCCAGCCAGGGTCAACCCACCACAGCATTTAAGACATTTATAACATTTCTAGCCAGAGTAAGTGTGGCCAGGATGAGTGCTGAAGTGCTGGAAATCCTAGGGAGATGGATGGTCTGAAACTCTGTTCCTGTCCCAAATCACAGGCACTCTGTGCTGTAGAACGATGCCCAGTTGACATTACGGTTCAGGGCACGAAACCCATGCCCTCAGCTTTGTCATCCCTTTGGATCAGCCCAGCCAGTTCATTCTTTTCCTTGAGATGACTGCTTGTAGCATCTGCACTGACCTGGTAGCTGGGATACTCTCCTGAGAAGTCAGAGAGCATGTCCAATGCTTTCTCAGACTGAGGAGACACCTGCTGTATGTGCCACAGATGAAATTTAGGAACTTAAGGTAGCTTTTCGGTAGACAGCTCTAGACAGTGGGATGTTTCAGAAGTTGAGAAGTTCTCTGCAACACTGTAGTAAAGTTACATAATCTGCATTTGCTTAAGGCAAATTGTAAATGCCTAAATAACTTCGTGATCATAGACTTTAGTAACAAAGTTTGGCAATAAGTCACTGGGAAGCAGTATGTCCTGCCTGTCACAGAGGGGGAAAAGGGCAGTCATAAAGTCAAATGACATATGCTCAGAAAACACTGTTAACAGCAGAAGTGATGAGAGATCACTACGAAGCTATGAATAGGATCAAACTACGAGATTTCACGAGCTGTGGTCATGCACGCTCAGCCTCGGACTCTGGTCAGGCAGGCTCTCTTAGCCTTTACAAAACGTGAAGTAAAACATCATAACTTCTAACTTCTTAACTGAGTCCCAGCTTCCAGTTCCCAGCTCTTACCATTAAATGTACAGCCTATGATTTTATATCTCTACTGCCAATTTAGGATCACCATACACAAAGCACTATTCCTATTACTGCCCTTCTCCAGTGTATGTTTAAGGGTCGGAAGTACTGCACTGGATGTCAACCGTGCGTAAAGTGAGTCATTACGAATGAGGGACTGAGAAGGAACCCTTTCTGTACTCAGGTCAATGTACAGCCACCATCAACTGCCCAGAAAAAGTCAGTACACTTAATAAACACAGAACATAATTTCTATGGCTGCTTTGTATAATCAACTTCCTGATGATTCTAGTGAATATCATACATGTCAAGATGTCAACTGCCAACCAGAGAACAGTGTGAAAGTCACTGATTTAAATTTGAGGAGACTGAAGGACAACACCAGATAATTTAATTCCTTTAAGAATGACTTTGCATCCAAACATAATACTGTTTTGATGGGCCTGGAATTGTACTGATGCATCAGTGAGATCCCTCTGGGACAGAGCACGTTCCTCAAATGCAGACAACCTGACTCACCTATTCATTTCACTGCACTCAGCAAATATGTCTTATGGTACATGGTTTGTTGCGAGAAATACTTGGTCCAGTTTAAACAGAGGGAGACTATATCACGTATTAAGTTCTGTTTCACGTTGCAGCACAGGCCATTTCCTTCTTCCCACTATATTCATGCAGTAAGAGGTTAAGAGAGCTGCCCTGTAATGGCTTCATTAGTTGCCAGAACTTGGAGAATGAAGTCCTTTGCTAGGGCTCATTAAGACATGAAGGGAGATAACATGCAAAAAGCCTGGGATACAGAGGATCTGTGACGGCAGACCCTGGAGAACAGGGGTTAGGATGAGTGGTTCCTTAATTATCTTTCTTGTACTAAGCATTGCCTCGGACATTTTAGCTGTACTGGGTTATAAAGAACCATTTTGCATTTGCTTGTGAACAGTACTAAGATGTAAAAGGGAAGGGATTTAATTCTCCCGTGGAGAAATCAAAATGCCACTTTTGCTGCTCAGTACAGGTTATTGCTGGACTTCTTTTATATTTGGGAATCTACCAAAAAGAAGTGTGTACTGAGGGAACGGGGATCCTAAGAAACTGTCCCTTGCACAAAAGGGTGAAGCATGTTTAAGAAACACTCTTCCAGAGTGAAAAAACTGAGGTAGTATGGCAGCAGCCCAATCGTAAGATATACTGGCAGTGGACACACACATAAAGCACCCCCCTGCCAGATACAGCATCCTGGTTTTCTCTACAATTCCTGCTAAATGCAGGTGAAAACAGCCTACTTAGCTGAAAGACTGAGTCTGAGGTTCAAAGATAGCCTAGTTTTACTTTCTACATGTGACAATCCATAGGCTTTCACCTAGCTGCTTCCACGCTGACTGATATCTTCTAAATGAATACGGCATGCAGCATTTCAGATAGGTATTAGCCTTGGCTTCAAGGTATTAAGAGCTGGAAAACTCACTGTGCCTCCTCATGTTTTGTTCTGGGTTTACAGATGATTACACTGTTTATAGGACAATAACAATCTGGTCCCTTCAGTCCCTTCTACAGAACCTCCAGCCCACTGGGCTGGGCAGTGTGTTGTTACATGTACCAACATGCTTGTTCACTCTATTTTATTCATGCAAGAAGAGTACCAGGCATCTTGTGAGTAAATCTGTCTTTCAAATCAAGTCATCAATTCAGTGGAAAGGTCCGGGTTAGAAATGGAAGTTTACAAATCACCTTAGCTGTGATTTTAGCTGTGAGGCACAATAACCTGAATGTTACAAGCAGCTCAGTGAGGAAAAAGGTCTTGGAATGATGCTCAAGTTTGTCTCAAATAACCTCACACTGCCAAAGAAAGTTTGCACTAGATGGATTTATAAAAGCAGTATAAGGAAAGCTTATAAATCATCTATACATGACCCCGCAGGTTAACAAAGGGACAGTGAATTCTGTTTGTGTGTAGAAATGAAGATTTTTCCAAATCCATCCTTTCAATCCCCAAACCTCCACATAAACTCAGAATAATGACTCAATTATGAACTATGCTACAAAATCGCTAGAAATACACTACTGTCTTTCCCCTTACAGTGGTCTTATAAATGAACTCATAGAGTGTGGAATTGAAGATGTTAATATGGGGAAAGGAAAAGCCTGACACCAAATTTATCCTCCTATCAGTGCAGGATAGCTTCCCTCCCTACATCTGCAAAAGTTTTGATCAACCGAGTTTTAGTCCCAGGCAAACAAGCCTCCTGTTTTGCTTATTCTTCAGCCCAGCCAATTATAATTTATGACAAGCTTTCTAACATCTAACCTAAATGATGATTGTCAAAAAAGTTTTCTTTTTATATCCTTTGTACCAGTTTATCCCATTTGCCCCATCCTTGGAATTTACTTTCTTAAAATACTTGCAAACAGTTAACCTGATTTTCCTTACACATGATAGTAATTCCTCAGTGAAAATGTTGTTTATGTAATTCTTCTACTATATCCACTCTCCTAATAGTATTTTTTGGTCGCTTTGCTGAAAATTCATTTCATTTCATCGCCTATACGGAGCTGCCCTGGATATTTGGCCTAGTCCCAAGCCAGGTGTGTAAGGTAAAGAAGCTGTTATTGCTGTGGTGTCTTGTTTGTGAGCACAATATACAGCACAAAAGCCGAAAGACTGATGTTCCATAGGTTCTGACTATTTAATGTACCATAGCGTTTCTCAGTGTGGCCCTCTAAAAGCTAATTGCATGTGGAAGAAAAAGCTCCTGAATAGTTTTTCTTTAGCCTTCATTTCAGATACCTGATGCAGATTTTGAGCAAGACATCTGTGCAGCTGAGGAGTGAAGACAGATCACAGTTCCAGACCTCTACACAAAACTACCCATAAAAATCCGTCTTCTTGGTAGGTGCATGTACTATTAAATACTTCCACTCAGTAAACTTATTTTTTACTTGATAGAGGACAATGCTTATAGTGTTTTAATATGAACCTCATGTGACATTCATCCTCCTCTAGCTGAGCCTAGAGAAGCACAGCCTTTGAATTCAGAAGGGAGATGAGACCTGAAGGATTGCCACCTCTTCCTTCCTGTTTACAGCCACCTAAAGAATAGTCATCTCCAAAAAACAAACACAGACCTGTTGGTGGCTACTGAGATTCATCAAGAACTAACACCAGAACAAGCAGTTATATGTAGACCATCAATTACATTCATAGCAATATAATGAACAATAGCAAGCCTAGGTGGCTTTAATGGGGTTATTTATTATATTACACTATGCTCAGCAATGGAAGCAGAATTATTTATGTAGTTGAGCTACGGCATTTCTGCTTCCAGTCATGCCTGCATGTGCTTTACTGGAACACATCTGTAGCACTCTTTTTGCAGAACTAAGTCTGAATATTTTACAAAGTTTAAACAAAATAAAAAACAACAGCAGGTCACTGCTGACGTTACCGATTGAGCAATCGTGTCCCGTCCAGTTGGGATCGCAGCTGCAGAGTCCAGTGTCTGGGAGGAAGGTCCCGTGACCAGAGCATTGGTCCAGACAAGTGGCTCTTGGGGTCTCACAATTTGTTCCTCCCCAGCCAACCGAACAGTGACATTCTCCTCGCACGCACACGCCTCGTCCTGAGCAAGTAGGATCCATGCAGTCCACTACATGCGAGAAGGAAGGGGAAGCAGACGGGGAAAACAAATGGGAATTTCAGAAAAAAGAGCTATCAGATTGCCATCTACACAAACTTACTGATACAGTATCTCAAGGCTCCAGCCATAAAGCAAAGCCCTGTTGTGCACAAAACCAGATGCTTCATGCAAGAAGATAGTGTCCCAAAAAGGCAGAGAGAAATAAAACACTTACATGAAAAACAGAGAAAAATTTAATGAGTATATCCATTCTTTTATCCAGGCCTACACTAATAAATGATCCTTCTAGTAAGAACAGGCTAATATCAATTTGGAGTAGAATAAGAATAATATTCTCTTGCACCCATATTATGCCTCCGTTTATTCTATTAAAATAACCTAAATTACTATTACTAATGAATTCAAAGCTGAGCTCTAGTTTTCCAAGAGAGAATTTTACATAAAGATTCAGCAGAAGTTGACATCCTTATTCAGCAAAATACAGGCTTAAAGTGAAGAATGTGCTGAAATATGTACAGGTTGCACAGACGCTTACCTAAATTTCACATCAAACATATCCTTAGCCAGTAGTGAGTCTGGAGCAAGGATTAAAACAACACCATATATTTTTGGATATTGGTGTTGTTCTGGTTTTATTTTTGATCAATTAATAGGCTTTTTAAACGGCTTTTTTTTTTTCCCCCCGAAGAGGCACTTTCCTAACAAGATTGGAGACCATTCAGTTAGCGCAGGGTATAGCGATGTGCACCAGACCGCACGTACTGCCTGATCCCTGAGTTACGTGTTTTGTAGGCAACTCTCAGCTCCTCCACCCAGGGGGGAATTTCACCCAGCCATCGAAAAATATGAAACGCCCCAGGCACCCTCCCAAAAAAAAGGGCTGGAGGAGTCAATCACCTATTTTTATATAAAAGCACATAGGAGAGCCTAGAGAAATTCTTCCCATCTCTTGAAACGGCGCGCGGCAGTGCCCTGGGGATCCGTGACAAGTGTCAGTCTGGCTAAGCAGCGCGAGGAAGGCTGTCCGGCTCCTGGCTCTAGCGCAGAAGAGCAGAGCACGGCCGCCGCACACGCAGCGGGCTTGCGGTTCATTATTTCCCCTCCTGTAAAAGCTAATAAGAATCCCAGTGACCTGTTTAAGATCCAGAAACCTTAAAAGGAAACACAACAGCTGCTCTGATGATTCCCTGGATTCCCAAAACCTTCTCCGTCTGACAAGTAATGGCTCAGCAATTACCATCCCAAGGCATGTGAGAGCATTTTCTGTTTTGTTTGATTCCTGGAGCCCTGCTCGTAGCTGGAACAAGCCTCGAAAATTGTGAGAGGCTGGAAAAGATGAGTCTATAAATCTCCTGCACCGTTAGCGAGCTGGGAGCTAGGGTGCCAATTTTAGCATGAGCCCCTTGGAGCCCTGGCCCCGTTCTTTCTCAGCAGTAATAAGTACCAAAAGGACTGAGAGACGGACCAGCAGCCTGGTCCGTTCTCAGCAGCTGGGTTGAACACCAGAACAAAGATCACAAGCTGACTGACAAGAGGCTACCTCCAGGCAATTAATCATCCCCTCGGAAGGTCAGCTGGGAAAAAGGTGAGTTTTACAGGGGCCTCCATCACAGAGAGCGGACAATCTGCTATCTCAGCTCCAACACAGGCGATTATAGGAGGGGAATGTGCGTGTCAGAACCCCCCATTTATCATAATCCCAAGGCCATTTTTCATGTTGAAATGAGCCCTTTCAGAAAATGTCACACACAATGGCTACTTTAATCTCAGCCTCGCTAGCTGTATCTCTTTAGGCTTTCTGCACCGGCGGAAGGGCCCTGGGACAGGATTACAGGCTTCTGCTTTCTTCTTAATCAATTGCTTAGTGGATTTGGACTACAATGGCATATTTTTAGGGAGTTCTGCTTGACAAATTTAGCTGCTCAGCTCTGGGAGAAGCAGAGATGGGGAGCAGGGCAGGAGGGCAGGGCTGACAAAAATCTAGTATACTTGGGAAAGGAAAAAAAAAAAGAGAGTTTTGCATATATTTGTGTTGCTGCTTGGAAAATGTCCCAAATGGTCTAATTCTTGGTTGGAAAATGCCCCATTTGTAGTTCAGCCTTGTACAGAACCTTTGCCAGGGAGATAAATCACGCAGCAAGCAAGGCCAGTGCCTCTTCTACACTTTTCCCCAATATGCTTCATGCTTCATCGGTCACACAAGTTATTAGGCTTATTCGGTACCCAAAGAGTAAATTCTCATTTTTCACTGCTTAAATTTGCTCCCCTCCCTTTAATGTCTCGCTGGCTTAGCCCATGCCTTATAAAATATGGGCCAATAAACTAAGGAAGAAAAAAAGAAAAACTCATGTAAGATTTTTGGCTGATGTTTTATAAACATTGCTGAACTTCTAGGGGGGGGAAAGAAAAGACAGAAGAAACCCTGGAATGAAAACCCATTATAAACATGGACTAAGCAATGAAGTTACAAGAACTGAGAAATAATAAAAAGTAATCGATACCAGATGGTCCTTCTTAGAAGAGAAATTAAAAAGTAAAAGCAATTTAAAAAATAGTATAAATCAACTTTTTTACTACATGTAAATATATATTTTTATATACATGTCCTGAAGATTTCCCCCATGGCATATTTCGGAGTTACTTCCCCCCCTCACAACACAATGCAAATTATGCCTTGAACATGAAAAACAAATGCATACTCGGAAAAATACTAAACAGCTCATAAGAAAAATCATGTTCTCTTTGTTCTTCAGTCTTTATCAAGTTTTTACCTAGCGGGACTCACGCTGTGCCCCACTACAGTGATAACATAAAATAACTGAGTAGTGTCTGGCTTTTCTGCTTTAAATGTGACCAGGGAAAAAAGGTTCCCATTAGAAAAAGGGCAAAACTTACTCTGATTTACACACACTAAACATGTCTAGCTGGAGGCAAAATCAGGATCTTTTCATTTCTGTTTATCCAGCGGAGATATAATCTAGTAAATATAAGGTCTACGGAGATGTTTTAAAGATACTTCAGTAGTCACCATCTTTGGGTTTTGCATGTCCCACGGCTTCATTGAATTGTGCTTTCTTAAGCCAAAACAAAGCTTTCTCACGAGATGCCTTATTGTTATAAGAGCTGATACTGTCTTCATCTCTAACATTTACTGACACTGAAGCCATGTTACATCAGAGATGTCCCACTCCAGTACATTTAATGCATCAAAGGAATTGCTAGATAGATGCCATTTGGACGTCTGAATCCAATTCAGCCTGTTTTCATTGTCCACAAAATAAAGCCATTTCAGATAAGCTTTATCCCACATACATTAAGACAACCATAAATTAATTCAAGCCATTGTGATTCTTACACACGTATCAAATGGATGTCTTAAGTCTGTCATGTGGTGCAGAAGCCTTATATATGCATTTGTAGAAGTGTAATTTCAACGTAATTATTTTTCAGGTCATCTGCATAGAATCTGGAGAATAATTTTGAAAAGTGCTGAACATTATTCTGTAAATCAGGCAAATCCGGATGATTTGTACACTTACAAAACTGCTCAATTTTTCTTTTAGCAATAAGAAGTAGTCACAGACTCAGAAAGATAAAGGTTTATGGTGGCAGGTGACTTCCTACACAAAGAGATTAAAGATAAGTGCTAAAAGGCACCGCGTTTCTGAGCCACAAATCTAAATGCAAATGAAAAATGTTTGGGGGCTAATGTGAGAAAAAGGCTATGGAAGAGTCATTAAAATAATATCTGATTTCGAAGCAGAGTTTAATTCAAGTCCTGAGCATTTCTAAGCTTTTAAAGCTGACAAGAATCAGAGACTTTCTCTCACACGCCACCATTTTGTGTATGCAAGCGACTGAAATCGCTTGGCATGGCATAGCAGAGGAGAAAGCACTGTAAAAGTAATTATACGTTTAGATGTGTAAATGGAAACGATGCTTTAATAAGAGCATTTGAACATATGATTAGATGTTCTGCTCTTTCAACTAGATTTGTCTATCTGAAGCATTTGATGGCTTTTCATCCAATTATTGAACAAATATGATAGCTAACGACAAGTTATTACAACATATCATTTTTATGTTGCATCCATCTATTGTATCTCTAAGGTGCCTATTACTGTTCTGTTTAAGTGCCAGTCCTATTCTCAATCACCTCCATCCATGTAATTATATAACGACAATCAAAGCAAAAGGCTAATTGAATGTATCGTGCCAATACCTTCTTCACAGCTCTCGCCTTTGTATCCTGGGTTGCAGATGCAGGTCCCCATGATGCACGTGCCGTGGTTATTGCAGGAGACATCAATGCACTGGTTCGTCGGGACATCACATTCTGCTCCTTTCCAGCCGCTATGGCACAAGCATCTCCCCTTCATGTACTGCCCATTTCCACTGCACAGCACTGGGCAGGAGGCTGGGGAAAGATAATAGAAATAACATTAAAAAACAACTGTACATGGCTCTCACTTCAAAAAAGAGCACAGGAGTCCAGCATGGGATTTATATTCTTCATACACAGTCTTCAGTGGGGTATGTTGTTCTTTTCTTTGCCAAAACCAAGTCTTTTACATGGATGACACCCAGCTGTTAACTGTATTCTCCTATGAGAAACAAACAGCACTCTTGAGTTAGAATATCTCCTTGCTTTGTGTCTCTAATACTTTTTTGTCATTAATTAAACTCAGAATTTTCTTGTATTCTGACTTTTCAATGTACTGGTGTCTTATTTCAGCAGCACCACTGACCTCAGATTGCTTACCACTATCCCTGACCTGCTGCCAGACTTCAGACTTTCCTTGACGCTGCCTCTGCCGTGGACCTTAGCTGTACACAAATCACTCCCCTGTTTTCCTGGTGTAATTCTCAGCTTTACAGTTTTCAGTTGCTTTACTCAGAGTCCAGAATGCCAGGTTGAGACTATTTCCCCAATTTAGCTTATGTCATGCCATCAACTGAATCTCCAGTCCCGTTTTTTTGGTCACCACCACTGCTGGACTCCATTTGTCATCAGACACAATGCAAAACTGGCCACTGGTCTTTGCAAGCTCCCTGTAATAAAAGTTCTTCAAATCTGATCTTTGTATCAGTCTAAAAAGAATTTTTTAATTGCCATCATTTCTGGCAAAGTCATCTGATTCTCAAGGCCAACCAGCTACTGGATCTCCCCTGTTATAAAAGGGAGAAGAAGAAGATAACAAGCTCATGTTGTGGCATGATGGATCCCAGGATTAAGCATTTTCTGAGCTAAATTTGGAAAATGTCAAGCAGAGTGGGATGGGATGAACTGAAGGATACAGAGCAGGGTCCCCAAGGAAGGAGAAGGCATCAAGGACCAGACCCCAGCCCCCATGACCAAAGCTTTGGTAATTGCTGCTCTCTAAGCTTCCTTCAGCTCCTCTCTGATGATGCCTTCTCCCTTTTCCATTCTCCACACCCGCCACCTTATGTTCCTTTTGTCCTCTGTTCTGATTTTCCCAAGGAAGCTGCTGATTTCTGTCCCTCAGAAAAAATAGCCTTCCCCTGTTCACTATCCCTTCGAATTTCTTCTTGCTTAAGCCCTTGTCCTCTTCCATTTCATTTTGCTGAAATTCAGCTGCAAGAACATATATTCAACACAGACTTCTCTCGTTCACTGTTGCACATCATCCTTAGGTGAGAGCAGCTGGGCGTCTCATGTGCCCCTCTGAAAGGCAATTTATGAACATTTTTATGCAGGGCAAACTGTGAAATTCCGGTCTGCTGCCTAATTCGACTGCATTAGGCATGTAATGAATACAATACGGCTCTTTTGCTTCACTTCTGACTCTGAGTACACGCAGGAAGAGGTATTAACACAGTTAAGGGCAATCTCCTTCTCTCCCCACCTTTTCCGATAGTAATTGCACGATGCCCATCCTGTGTTGTTTCCATGTGTCCTTATAGGCAAGTCGGTTTGAGTGTTACAGAATTATAGCAACCTCAATACAATACAAAGCATTGCCAGCTGTTAAGCCAGTTTGATATGCAGTGAACTATATTTGCCTGACCAAGGTAAAAGAGGTTTAGAAAAGAAAAGAATTTGGCAACTGCTATTACTAAGAAGCCCTCTGTTCACCTTAAAGGAAGCACATGGCAGTGGTGTGTTTCAAGTGCATCATTTGCAAGGAGATACCTACCTATACAACACGAGACATAAATTGTTTAAGATACACTGTCATGTACATGGTTCGCAGCAAACTCACTCTGTAATTTCACTTTTGAGCTAGGCTGATGGAATTTTCCGCCCCCCTGTCTCAAATTTCAAATGCTCAGTAACGGAGCCTGTTCTTTCAAGGCACTGGAAGAAGATAGTCCGCAGCTCTTTTCAACAAGAAGAAAGAATAATTGCCTTTAACCAGCGAGAGGTTGCTGAGAAAGACTTACATGTTTTCTGACAAGACAGCCGATCACTCAGTACAAGATCAGATAAATTACTGGCCATCTGCAGTAAGACCAATACTTTACAGAGCCCTCTATGGAGAACACCTTCAGCATGACCTGGAAAACGCTGCTGCAAATGTCAAGGCGATAGCAAGAACAAGACCTCCTTTGTGGCATACCGTAACGAATAAAGACAAAAGAGGTTTCTGTTTTTTTTCCACTGCTACTTGGGCAACTCTTTTCCATATATAATTATTGGTTATCATTCAGATTCCAACAAACAGTACCTAAGATGCCGGAATTATAGTCATTCTCTAGTGTGGTTATGATAGCAACAACCCAATTGCATACCACTTTTCTTGTGAAGTTTATCAGCAGAGAGTAAGATCATTAATTTTTTGGTTTACATTACAAAGAACTTTAAAACACCATCTCCCATGTTCAAGGAAGCCTCCAAAGGGCCCATGAAAACACCTCTGGTGATTTGTTCTCATTTTCCTGGTTTAAAATAATTGATTAATAATACGTTAATAATTAACCATTATTAAAAACGGGTTTTCTGCTTTTTTTGTTTTCCACCCATTTGGATGATGAATTACAAGGCTGAATTGAAACAAAAGAACACCCAGGAAATCTATGACCTAGAAATCTTTATGTGGGCAGAGACCTGCTTATTTAAGGATTACTGCTTAGTACAGGGACCGCTATACGGCTGCAGACGGACACTGTAGCAGCCTTACACGTGCCGCAGTTGCTGCCCTCTGAGCGATTTGTAGGTCAAAAGCAGCATCTTAGATTCCCCTGAAAACCAACAGGAAGCCAACGCTGGGGCCCTTGTATCTCACGCTCGTGGCAAGATGATCCATTTAACAAGCCCACTGGGTGGAAATCCATACACAAACAGCATTTTGACATTCCAGGTACTAATCTGTCCTCCTAAAGGAAGAGACAATCTGTGTTCTGAACTAAAAGATAGACTTGAATAAAAGGTGTTCCCGTCAGCCAGAGTAAGCACTCTCGTGAAACGGGGGATGCTCACATGGCTCAACTGAAGTGCCCGAGGAAGTTAGGTATATAACCCATGAAGGGAGGGAAGCTCCTCTGAAAGTGGAGTCAGAACAAAAGTTTAAACTTTCTGACTCCCAGGGAAGGAGCTTCTCCTTCTCCACTGACTCTGCTGGAAGCCTGGCGGGGAACAAACCCTGAACTTCTGCCCCTCCCTAAAGGTAGGAGATGTGAGGAGGAATATGCTGTGGGAGGTGGAAAAAACCTCCTTTCATCTCCAGCTCCATGGATTTGAAAAGGAGCTTGGAAATGCAAACCAAGTGTAACCTGAGTCAGCAAGAAGTCTGACATAACAGCTCTCGGGATGCAGATTGCCACATCCATCTTACTGGGCTGTGAACTCTGAAACACCTCTGGGGCTTTAGCCTGGACCACACTGCCTGAGCAGAGAGGTCCCTGCCCGCGGGGGGTGCGGCCGTCCCTGACTCTTGGCTGGGCTGTGGTGGTGTGACCCGAGCTCAGCTGGAGGGGGAGAGGACACGAGGTTGGCAGAGTTCAGCCCTCGCTTGGGAAGGAGCCAGCCTGCTCTCCGAAGAAGCGGAGGGAGGGGTCACCCCAGGTGGGCTGGGGTGAAGGCCTGATCTGCTGCCTTAGCAAAGCTCCTTGTGCGGGCACTAACTTTTTACGCTATCCCCCTCCCCAAATTTATAAATCTGCACTTAGTTTGCTGGACGGTTTCAGCCAAAAAAGGCCTTGAGAAGGTTCATGCACGGCATTCTGGCATTTCCCACATGCAACGTTTTGATTTCTCGCTCTGAAACCTGTTCTTACTAAAAGCAATTCAGTTTGGTTTTTAAATGTTTAAATAACCTAAAAATTTCAGGTCAAATAAAAATCCTTCCAAAACCATTTATTAAAAATACTTTTCACTTGAGCAGAAAAATGTATTACACTGTTTGCTGGGGTAAGCCTCCTTCCCATTCGTCCCAATTTTTTCACTTTTGGATAGAGTACCCAGCTCTTCCTGCCATTACGCCTCTCCCAGCCTTACTCTAACCCTGCTCCACGCCCCGCAGCCAGGCTGTCAGCAATCCCTCATAGCTCAGGCAGACTTGCAAGGCCTGCAGCAAGGGAAAAGGTACTTAAGTTTTGTAAAATCAGCGTCTTAAAAGAAAGTATCATTATAGGGTTGCGCCACACAATGATAGAGTGGTCTGCTAAACAGGCAATAATGCCACATTTATAAGGCACGTTTGCTAAAGTCGCTTCCAGAGAAAAATTTCCCAATGTGAGAGTTTCCCCGTCCCTATGCAGCTAGCGGCTTGTGTTGCTGCTAAGCTCACAGCAATTACAACTAGTACCAAACAAATCCACACATCTGACCTGTTTCCATTCTACTGCAGCATCCCCAAGCTGGGTGAGGTGGACTTTGCAAAAGGCACAGGCATGAATATAATTTCCACAAGAAAAATGTTAACCAAGGGAGAGAGGGGAAGAGTTAATCGAGTATAAATTCCTACCTCTGCCACAGTCAGGGCCCAGAAAGCCAAGGAAGCAATGGCAAGTCCCAGACACGCAGTCTCCATTCCCATAGCAATTACTGGGACAATTATCCACTGATTCTGGAAAACAAAAGAGAATTTAGATAGTTCTTTAGGCAAGAAAACACCTCTGAGCTTGGGAGGGCTCTGGATGGCAGGACAGCTGGAACCTCAAAGCAATCACTGCCCTTGGGGCTGAAAGCACTAGTCTGAGCTCCACTAAACTGGCGCTCATCCACCCACACGGAGGGACAGCTCAGCCATAACACATCAGCGCGGAGCGGCTGCAAATCCCACGATTACATCGCAGCTCTCAGCACCCACCAGGCTTTGTCCTCACTCACTACCTTAAAACTTCCAAATGGCTTTTCTTCCTGCTTATTTTTCTGACCACTCCGAAGTTGTTGGAGGGAAGCAATACACACCATTCCCATGGCAGAACGCGCGCCTTTGGTCCAATTTTGTAGACCCGGTAAGTGAACTTGGGGCATTTATTTGTGCCAAACAGAGCTGAGCTACAACAGAAATGTTCCCTCTGAAGTTCACTGAACACAGACCCTCGGTTCATCCCATCTGCCTGTTGAAGGATTATTTCTAACCATATACATTCTGGTTTGTTCTGGAATAAGATACAAACAGCCCAAAGTACTGGGGCTAATCCTGTATCTTGGTGAAACAGGAACGGGGCTATTCCACACTTTTTTCTGTTTCTAGTTATCATTTTAAATTCCATGACTTTGGCAAAAACACTGACTATTCATCTTTTAAGGAAAGTTAAGAGGTAAGCAAAATGTTATCTTGTACTTTTATTTTGAGGACAGTTCATAATATTGGGGCTAAAAATTATCTTTCATAAAAGAAGAACACAAGCTGGTAAACATTACATATCAAAAAGAGAATGAAAATAGTTTTACTTTCTTGACTAATCTGTGAGTGAAGACTGAGTAAATGTGAGCGGAGCCTGGGGATATGGTGGAATACCATGGTTCATTCCACACTATTATTTCACATTTTTGCTGAGGGAGACGCGTATCAGATTAAAACTGGATTCAGTTGTACAGGAGGGGCACGGGAGATACGTCTATGGTGGATCGAGGTGGAAATCTCAGCCGTGTGAATAATGACTGCGCCTTCGCAGACGTACTTCACAAGCCTTGTGGTAGCAAAGGTATTTGTAAACTTCCTATCGGTGCAGGTGAAGAGAAGCAGCTGCAGCAGAGATGTGCAGATTAGTTTCTAATCACAAAATAAAGGGAGCCTGTTTCTGGATGGGCGTTCTCCAAACAACAGAGGTTTCTGAAGGACACTTTAAAGGATGTGGTGTGATTTAATCATTCACAAAGGGCAGCAGCACTTTTAAATAATCAAAACAGTTTCAAGCATTCAAGTCTTGGCATCAGACATCTCATAATCAGAGAGCTCCATGCAGCAAGGAAGGTACATGGAAGAGCTGCCGGTTTTCCAACGCTTAGGTAAGCAGATATTCACTTTACAGTGCATGGAAATACAATCACAGCCTGCGGTCAACACTTTGAGCTTGATCTACCATCTTCAATCAAACAGCAGCCACACTTCCTCGAATAAAGCAATAGCAACTCAGGCCTCGTGCCTTTATACTGATATTTAAGTATACTAACTTAATAGCCGGTATAAACACAAATCTATCCTGTAAATGAAAAGTTAATATTAGCCCGTATGTATATAATCTTCAGAACTTTGTCATGTTTTAATTTCACTGCTGAAAACAAAAAGAAAATAATTTTGCTTTATGAATTTTTTTTCTGTTTTTTTTACACTGTTTCTTTCCTTCTTGTCTTCAAGAAATATCTGCAGAAATTTAGAAAAGTTAGTTACTGACGCACATACAGATGCTTACAAATATGAAGAACGTACAGAGTGTGAGTACTGTGAAACAAGCTAATCACAGAATCACAAAATGAGACGGACAAGGAGATTTAACAGCTCATGTCGCTGAAAGAGTCAGTCCTTTTCCTCTAATCCTCTCGTCCTAGGCACAGGTCTAAGCTCCCTCTTCTTGTGCTGGTTCTGGCACTTGTCAGACCCTTCAATGAGTTGCTCAAGCTCAAAAGGTGGCAAAAAAAATTAATGCAGCAGAGAAAAAAACAAGTGAATTGTTTTCTACTGCCTGAAAACTGGGAACAGAAGGAGTAGGGCCATGCTGTTCAGCATCAGCGCGGTACGCAGACGTCTCATGAAACCTCACCATCACCCTGTCATGCTGGGTGGGGGTCTGCAAGCTGTAGCAGCACTGCGTAGACGTTCCATACGCGTGACCTTTGAAGTCAATGGGAATACCTATGTCAGAGCTTGATGCAGGACAGACTCCCAGTGTTATGACAACACCTATAGTATATTAAAAACTATTTTTCAAAGCTTTTTTCAAGCTTTTGCTTTAAAGGACTAAACTGAGTCCTTGTAAAGGAGTAAAATATCCGTACAACTTTCTTGGTCTATTTATGTAACATAGTAAATAATATTTATGCAAAATAATAAAAAAAAATCAAAGAAACATCTAAACAGCAAAGCAGCATCAGGCACAGTTCCAAAGTGTAACAACGCATCACATCAGCTACACAGTAACCTTTGTTACTGGAAATAGTATTTTGCATTTATAGTGTGGTTCAGCTGACGTGCTTGTTGTGCGCAGGACAAGACGGGCAGGACTCAGTACACCAACTAGATGTCCACCGTAGGTTAAACCGAACGACTCTCGTCCACTGTACTAAGTGTAATGGGATCTAGAAGTTCAGAGTGACCACAGAAATGGAGCGTTTCTGTGCTTAGGTAACAAAACTTTCCTGAATTTTAGGATAAATCCATGCAATAAGCTTTACTCCAGCGGTGCATCCTTTCCTCCTCGGACTAGTTCAGATGAAGATCTTTTCACCAAAGACACTATAATGGGTCAGATCCCATTGACAGTGACCAGCACTAAAGCATGTCAAAAAAATATTCACGTATATTTTGTGGTTAATCTACAGATCTGGCATTTTACTTTGCAAAAATACGGTGATATGCTCACATATCACTTCATATATCACCATCATCTCCTCAGTCCTTGATTTCCCGGACTCTTCTCTGGAAGTGTGCCCTCACTGCGTGATACCATGTTGCGGCCCACACAAAAGCAATTAAAAAAACAGGTGAATGAAACCCATCATGCCTTCTTCACTGAAGCACCTCAGTAACTCTTAATTGTGGCCTGACCACCCTATACTATTAATAATAGAGTAAGCCCTTAAAAATCCCTGCTTCCTACTTCGTTGCTTTCTCTGATGCTCCTTGTTTTTCTAATTCAGCTAAACGTAGCATTTCTAACGTGCTCTCATTTTAGAATGGCTCACTTTGGCCTGGAATAACCTGCCTAGTAGAGATGAGATGAAGTGAAAAGAAACTCTTCCCCTGCAGGGCTGGTGCCACTTACCATTTGTTAGCAGTTAAGGATGCTAACTTGCCTGGTGTGGCTCAGGGCAATTAAGGTCTCTGCACACTCCCAAAAGTTCTTCACTGCTGAGAATCAACTCTGAAAAGCGATGAAGACTCATGCAGTACACCTTTGTCTCAAAGCTACTCCAAAACAGTTCAAAAAGTACTTCCATAAAGGAAGCGTTTAAATGAACCTGCTTTTTTCTCATGGAGTCCAGAGCTAATGAGAACAAACGAGGCTTGTGACTAGGCTTGTGATCAACAAGTCCGAGAGCTGTGCGTGCAATGCTGAGCATGGCCCTGTTTATATCCTTAGGTACAATCACAAACTGGAATTTCTTTTTACTTTGGAGGTTGCAGGCATTAGCAAGTCATACGCACTTAAGACTTCCCATAAAAAACCTCTGTCTTCATCCCAGGACCGAATTTAGTTTCAATGGTTGCAGACTGTGCCACTTGGAGAGCTGATGTGACTTTCTGGCCCTTTGGAAATGTACACACGGTACGTGTACACACATCTGTGCGCACCGCGCTCATACCGGACTTGCAAATTAAACAGGAGGTGGTGGGTGACTTGGTCTAAGAAATTAGGGACTCACCATGGGGGAACCCTAGAAAGAAAGAAGAATCAAATGGACAAATTTGCACATCTGTTGCAGAAGCTAGAACTTAGCCTAATTATTATCTAACGAGACCTAGATGACAGAAGAAATCAAACTCTTAACTTTTAGGGAGACCTTAAATTAGTGGCACAAAGCAATTATCTGTCTTTTAAGTACATCCATAGTCAACATTGCTACAGAGGTGACAAACTGTCAATAAAGACAAGTCACTGCAGTTATGGCTAGGTTCTAGTCTCCATTCTACAACTTATTCTGTAAGCTGTTACATGTAATTACAAGGATTTTTTCCAATATATACAAAAATCCATATGAATAATGCCATGGGAACTGCTTTAGGGAATCATGACAATGTTTTGTTTTGTTTTATTTAATTGTTAAAGTTCACTGTGAGACCACGGACAAATCTTTTTTAGAAAGAGCTACATGATCTCTCTTTTCAGTCTGACTCCCACAGCTTTCTCTTGGCTTCCAAATTGCTGATCTGATTGACACCAGCTGGTAAGGGCAAAAATTATTAATTGGAGGGTCAGACAATGGGTGATGCATGATGCTTTCATCTGGTTTTGCTATCGTGTCCAAAAAGAACATTAAAAATGCAGCTCCCGTGCCACCTTCCAGAAACCAACGGTGGCAGGAGCAAACCTCCTGAAACCAAACAACTCACCCTGGCGACAGACCAGCAAAACTTAAGGTGCTGTGGCTTCAGATGGGGATTGCAGAAGCCTGCGTATAGAAGTAATTGTCCTGCCAGCTTCAAACTCTAATTAGCAACTGAAAAAACAAGTCATTTCCTGAATAAATATGGTAAACATCCAGATCTCCTCAGAGAGAGGGACTAAATGACATAACGAGACACACTGTCTTTGGATCCACGCTGCCTTGTTTTGGAGAACGGTACCGAAATGCCTTGCCCGAGGCAGCAGGTATTCCCTACCCTACTCCAGCCTCCCTCCTCAGAAAAAGAAGGATGTACAAAAGTGCTTCTAGATTCATAAAAATGAGAGGTGGAGAACATTCATGGAGTGTGAAAGCCTAAACTTCTCCAAGAGCAAAACTCCTCTTCTGAAGTATTCCTTAAGGTCCTTCCTGCTCAAAAGCTTTAATTACCAAAGCAGAGAAAGAAACAGATCATGGTCTGGAGCGAACCAGCTTTACTTCTTGCACCACGGTGACTTACGGCTGCTGAGGATACTTTGGGATTTTTGCCATTATTCTCAGAGAACTTTTTTCAGTACAAGTAATCTCACAGCTGGTAGATTTTGAGGGAAACTTGGCTGAGAACTTTATCTCATTGCTTGTTTTCCCACTGCAATCACTCCTTACCCTGAGAGAAGCTATAAACTGGCACGATCCTGCCCATACCCATAATAAGAGTGCACCATCTCCATCTTTTATTTAAGGATACCACCAAGCTCAGTAGGAAATTGCTAATTGTTACCATTCCCATTTTTTTAGGCTGGTAATTTGAGGCATAGACAGATACACCGTTTGCTTCATATCATAAACTGACTCATGCGACAGCAGCAAAGCTCCCAGGCTAATGTTCTGATCAGGGGACCACTTTGCTGCTGACAAAGCGCCCCGTGAAAGCCAACTCTACTGTGGTGAGCTCTATAAAGATCTGTCAACCTGGCCTACAATTACCTACATGAATTACCTTTATCCAGATGAAATACAATAAACATATTAAAGAGGTAGGTAGACAAATTGTTAGACTCTTGATGGACTTTTTTATATACTCACTCTGTGTGTTGGTCAGCGGTATAACTACTTTAACAGTATCTCCACCTTATTTATTTACTATGCAACATTCAACTTAATAGCTTGCTTCTATATCTTTGGGCCAGAGGCCAAGGCAGATGTTTGCCTGACACCAAATCCTATTAGAGGCTGCAGTAACACAATTGTGCGTTAAAGATAAATATTTTATAGCCTACACTTGCCACCAAGCATCATCATTCCCTAGGCATTTAGAGGCAACTATCTATTGGCAAAGAAAAAATAGTTATCTAGCTGGCAATTGAAGGCAGTAGCTTTCCTGGGAGTTAATAAGCACCAGAACTGCTTTCTAAGAACTGATTAAATGCCATTCAGTGCAGTGTGGTTGTATGAATTCAAGTGTAACTATTTCATTCAATAACCTCCAAGAGCTGTTCCAGAACTGGCAGTATTTAGTGTCAGAAATATGTAGGAATAGTACTACAGTAGAAGAATTACACTTTAATGAATCAATGCTACTCTCAGATTCTGGAATGAAGGGTCAAAGAAAATGAAACTTATTTTACCAATGAGAATACTAAACACTATAAGTGAGATGCAAAGAAAAAGCTGGGGTTTTTTAGATATCTTCACTGCTTGGCCTCTTCAACTAGTAGTCTACCCCACCTCTACACAAGAAATGACCTCCAAATCTTTTGCTCTGTGCTGGTGAGAAGATATATGAAGCTACTGAGCCTGAAGTAAATTGCATCATCTACCAACCTACCAAGCCAAGGGAGATACAGCACATATATTAATTGGAGTAATAAAATGTTCTACCCTTTTCTTACAAACGTCAACCCTCTGTATATACAGATGCATTAATTAAAAAAAAAAGTAAGTAAATAAAAAAAATCTGGGGGTCAAACAAATACTTAGAGGAGAATCGTTTACTGTATCAAATAAACACATATATTTATTGTTACGCAGGAAGAAGTGGTTCTGGCTTGTCCACTGGCCTATTTTCTGCCTAGTCATGGAGTCATATTTTGTGCTCCACATGGAGCAGGGCAGCAGGCAGTTAGATTCCATGGTTCATATCTATCTTTGAAATCCTCTCTGCAAGCCACATCAATGCAAAAAGGCCATGAGGAGCGCGCAGCATCCCTCTCACCCTCCACGGAGTTACATCCCATGAGGGACTGAATGGACACCACATTATTTCACCTTATTCTCTGCCGCTGCACCAGAGCAACCTTAGCAAGCACATATTCTTTCTCCTAGACCTGCTTGTCCAGGATAAAGTCGTCACCTCCAAGCTCATTGCAATAACATCTCTCTTTCACAAAAATGCTGCCTGTCACTGCCCCGGCTACGTTAGCAATAATTTTAATAGGAAGTCAGGCAGTATAACATGAAAGGTGAAGAAGATTCTGAAACTCTGTGAACACATTTAATTTACTTCCCAGTTGCAGAGCTTGCAGTCTTGTTTATTTTTCAAAGAAATGATGCTACTCGATTGAATTTCTCTGCAGGGTAGGTTGGATTCTAAGCCTAGAAAACTGTCACCTGCCCTTGTAATTGTGATAACAATGCCAAGGGAGACGTGGAGGTGAGAGGGGATAAAACATTTTTTTTTTTTATAAAACATCAGATTTGACATTATGAGCCAAAAAAAAGAAAGGGGAAAAAAAAAAGCCCTGGAAACAAAGGAAATGTGGAAACGCTGGGTCTGGTATTCTCTTGCTCCTCCTCTTCCTTCCCCAGCTGAAGTTTGAAAGGACTGATTCCTTCTTATGGTACATCCTCACCTGCTGAGATTTCGATTTTCCTGCTTCATTTGTGTTTTATAAAGCTTTTACATTTCTAGCTCAAGTAATCCACACCTGGCAGCCGGGGATGTGAAAGTCTTGACAGCATCATGGAAACTCAGTCATTATTTCTGAGTGCTCTTTCACAGTTTCCTCTTCTGTAGGGCACCTAGTGTGATGCTGATACTGCTAATGTCACTTGATGTTGTGCCAGATTTTGATTTTTTTTTCTTTTTCTGAAGGCTAGGAAGTCTGTTTTAATTAAAGACCCATGCATATAACCCTGTTTTGCTCTCATATCCCAGTGGAACTCTGACCTTCACATGCAGGTATCAGGGTGCTAAATTAGGAAAAGGGCAACAGGCAGGCAGCTCCTGTAAACAGCTCCTTAAATCACTCCTGATTCTAGAAAGTCAGAGTAAGTACAGTAATCGCAGTATCCAACTTCATGTTATTGTGTCCCCCCTCTTTTCTTCTGTAAGAACGGTTAAAAAAAAGCCATTTGCAAAGGCAGGTACCCCACATCTCCACCAGTGTACTGACAGCGAATACCTGCTCAGCCAGCAGTGACTCTAGAGGCTGGGTCATTTTAAAACGTGATGGTGAAGCACAAAAGGTTTGGCATTCAGGATCAAGTTTGGGTTGCTTACTGAAACCATGAAGAGCTGCTGAGTTTGCCAAATTTGACAGTACATCATGTGAGCACGTTTTCCCTTGGCTGTACTTTTGCCTCTAGGCCTGGCTTGAGATCTCCGTGCAGGTACTCGAACGGCGCTCCCCACAATAATGTCCATCTTTCTCACATTATTTCTCACATTCGACTCCAGGCCCAGCTGGAAATACCAGCAAAACAGCTTTTTTTGTGCACTGTTTTTGAACTTCTGTTCTACAGAAACAGGGAACAAGTGGGAATAGTTTGGGGAGTAAATAAAGAAGAGAACAAGCCCGACCATTTCAGAAGCCTATGCCACATGTGGTCTGAATTTGGTTTGCCCTTTGAGAGCAAGCTTTATCTCACTGATTCATTCCTTTCTCTTACTGCTTCCTTTTTAAGAAGAAATCTTTCCAGTGCAGATTGCCTTATAATCTAAAGCTATCAGATGGCTGAAAGCATAAGATGTAATGGGATTTCAAAAGCACTTGGGCACTGGTCTGTGTATACTACCATTTACGTTAATGGTAAAATCCCCTTTGACTTCACTAGGACCAGAATGAAGGCAACTTTTAGAAAATCCTGCTAATGTATTTCTGCTGTTCATAGGATATACAGGGAACACTGTTTTCTTCCCTGAGAATGTGAGCAATGCTAAAAGCATGAAAGAGTCTACGAAATACAGTTCTTAAGGAATCGTACATTGGCCATCTGAAAAAACCCTCTGTTCTAAATCACTTGAAATGTGATCACAGGTTAGAAGTTAGCTGGGAAAAAAAAAATCAGTGAATGACTTTAAACAAAGAGTAGCTGTTGGGCTGAAGCCT